TTTTTCGCGGTGCGGAGCTGCAGGGGCGGCGGTTGTTTTTGTTATCAGGCTTTGCGTTCGGCATGCGAGGCTTCGTGGTGGCCGCTGGGGGAGTCTTGAACGCGTCGCGGGCCGTCTGGAAGCGTTTTGCCTATGGGCCATGGGGACTCTTTCGGGAGGCCTCTTGGTGGCCTCTTGGGGACTCTCAAACGCGTCGGGTCGTTGGCTCTTGCTTGCGTGCTCGGGGGGGTATTTGGGGGGCCTCCTGGGACCGCTTGGGGGCCTCTTGGAGGCCTCCTGCGGGCCTGTTGGGGGCCTCTTGGGGCCTCGTAGGGGCCTCTTGGGGACTCCTGGGGGCTTCTTAGGGCCGAGGGCTCGAAATGTTGTTTCGTGTTCCCCCCTGGGACCTCCCTTGGGGTGTTCTTGGGGCCGTTTTGTTTTGGGCGTCTTGGAGGGCTCTTGGGCCGTCTTGGAGCCCTCTTGGGCCGTCTTGCGGCCCTCTTGGGGGCCTCTTGGGTCCACTTGGGTCGGTCTTGGGGGCCTCTTGGGCCGTCTTGGGGTGTCGGGAAGCCGAAAAGCTGGGAACGCCAAAATCTGTCCAAAACCGTAGGAAAGCGATGAGCTGTGCCTCTTGGGGCCCTCTTCAGTGAGAGTGTTCTTGGAGGCCTCTTGGGCCGTCTGGGGGCCATCTTGGGCGTCTTAGAGCGATCTTGTGGCATCTCGGAGCTCTGTTGTATCATCTTGAGGGGCTCTTGGCGGCCTCTTGGCCTTTCTTGCGGCTCTCTGGACGGCCTCGAGGGCGGCGCCCAGGAGGAAAACAATCTCTAACCCGAGTCGCCCGGGACCTGCCCAGGGTATTTTTCGTCCGGGGACCCCCAGGGGCCGCCCCGCGCGCGCGAAGTAGAATTACTGTAAAGCAGTTACCGCAGATCTTAGCACGCCTCTGGCCAGTTGGGCCGGCGCATTTCAATACGTCCCTGCCCCCCCCTTGGGCCGCGCACATGCCGCCGGCCATGATTTGCGCCCCCCCTCTTGGACACCCCCCTCTTGGCCGCCCCCGATGTGAAAAAAAACATGACGTCGGGGGTCTGGGTTCGTGGGCCGAATTGCGTTTCCCACCGAGAGAAGATGGCAAGTTACAAGACGGGAGCGTTTGCCCAGCGCGGAGTTCCCACCGAGAGTCGAAGAAGAAAAAACGGCATGAACATAAGTGGTTGTCGCTCGGCGCGGAGTTTGTCGGATCCGCGCTGGACCCAAGTTTATGTTTGTGGCGCGTTCTCTTCTTTACGAATCCCGTTTCCCACCGAGAGAAGATTGCAGGTACAATAATGGAACGATTGCCCAGCGCGGAGTTCCCCTAGTGATGTTTTGCATTCTTGGTTGTGCTGGCTACGTGGCGCGAGCGGAGGGGTGCAGGCTGTCGGATCTAAGCTATGTGCATCGAGCTACCCAATTCATTCATATGTGGTTTAAGCTAGGTGGTGCACTTCATGTGGTGAAAGCTATGAGGTGTAAGTAATGTTGCGCAAGCCATGTGGCGCAAGCTATGTGGCGTAAGCTGTAGTGCAAGCTATGTGGCATAGGCTATGTTGTGCAGGCTATGTGGTGTGAGATGTGTGGTGCTAGCTACACGGTGCGAGCTAACTATGTGGTGCAAGCATTGCTGTGCAAACCATGTGATGCTAGCTACGTGGTGCAATAGATGTGCTGCAAACTACTTCGTGTAAGGTATGTGGTGCAAGCTACGCGGTGTGTGCTATAAGCTGTGCGGTGCAAGTTGTGTAGCGCAACAGTCGCACGAGTAGTAGTACTTTAGTTGCTGTTGTGGTTGTAGTCGTAGTAATAGCTGTAGAACGTACACTTCTACAAAAAATGATTCATTGGCTTAAGCCGCACCGCCGACCCCTTGGGGCGGCAGCAAGAGTGAAAGACAGAATTCGCGGAACGCGCGCGATCGCTGGGCAATCTTGGGGCTTCGGCCTGTCATACGTAGCGTGTGGAGTTCAAGGGGGGGCCTTGTAGGGGATTCTTTTGAAGTTTTTCGTTGTCTTATGTGAGTTTCTTGGGGCCGTCACGGCGCCTGTCCCAGGCCTCTTTTTCCACCTCCTGGATAGGCTCGGGGATCGTTGAGACCCAGCTGGGGTTGCGTCTGGCCAGAAGTTCGAGAGTGGACCCAGCTTAGTAGCTGCCTGCAGGGCGCGTCGCTGCGTCGCCCGGAGCGGCGGGTCCCTGCCAGCACCGCCGCCCTGCCCCACCCTCTGCTGCACGCGACGGCCAGGGCGGCCGCTACCTGGACCCCTGGACCGATAGCTTGGCATCGTTCGGACGCGTGCATGAGTTTCTCGGCGGGGGCCATCAGGGAACAGATTGGACCACCTTGCGAAGAAGTATGAACGCACGAGACCGAAAAATGTACTGGGAAGGGACGCCCGAGAGAGGACGAGGATATGCGAGCAGAGCCCGCATGGCCCGTCTGATCCCAGCCCAACGCGGGGCGCTCCACGGAAGGCTTCGGCTGATCTTCGCCACGAGGGAAATGGTCTTGGGGGAAGTGGCGAACGAACAACACGCACCAATACCCATCGGGGGACGGAAAGGGCCTCGGCCGATCTTCGCCACGAGGGGAAATGGTCTTGAGGGAAATGGCAAACGAACAGCACGCACCAATACCCATTGGGGGATGGAAAGGGCTTCGGCTGATCTTCGCCACGAGGGGAAATAGTCTTGAGGGAAGTGGCGAGCGAACGACACGCACCCATACCCATCGGGGGACGGGAAGGGCTTCGGCCGATCTTCGCCATGAGGGGAAATGGTATTGAGGGACGTGTTGAAAGAACAACACACACCCAGACCCACAGGGGGACGGGAAGGGCCTCGGCCGATCCTCGCCATGAGGGGAAGTGTTTTTGAGGGAGGTGGCAAACGCGCACCACCCACCCATACCCGTAGGGGGACGGGAAGGGCCTCGACCGATCTTCGCCGTGAGGGGAAGTGGTCTTGAGGGACGTGTCGAACGAACAACACGCACACACACACACACACACACACACACACACACACACACACACACACACACCCAGACCCATAGGAGTACGGAAAGGGCCTCGGCCGACCTTCGCCATGAGGCGAAGTGGCCTTGAGGGAAGTGGCGAACGAACAGCACGCAACCATACCCATAAAGGGACGGAAGGGGCTGCGGTTGCGTGTCGTCTGTCGAGGGTGCCCGCTCGAATGGGAGCTTCCCCCGAGGCCTGACAACCCGCACCCACACCCACAGCCAATCCTTCCCTCGGACCCCCCTTATGGATGTGGGTGTGCGCGTGCTGTTCTTTCGTCAAGAAGCGGGGTCCTGAGGCTTCTCGGTGTCTTCGGGGCCACCAGGGCCTCCCCAGGCCCCCAGGACAATCCAAAAATCATGCAGGGCAAATCCAGGCCTGCTAGATATGTGGTCCGTTGCGGCTCGATGTGGAGATCGATTGTCTCCACGCTGGCGTCACCGAGGCTGCGCCGACGTCGCCGATGCATCGGCGACGCAGCGCAATCCTCTGGCCCCATCTACTCCGATCCCACCCAGGAGGCCTCCAACGATACATTGCCGCCTCCGGCGCCGGGAGGCGCCGGGAAAATCAGCTACGTGAGCTGATTCTCAACCCCCCCGTTTGCTATCCGGACCCCGTTCCCTTTATATTTCGCCTCGGTGCGTGCCCTTTTTTCTGGCATCCTGGGGGCACGCTTCGGGCCCCAGGGCCGTCGAGCATCTGCCGGGAGCTCACGTCTGCCGACTGGCAGGCCCCGGGACAGGCTTTGGGGATCGATGTCTCTGGGCGTCGCGCAACGGGGGGCGATGCTCGGAGAGGGGCAGCGAGGGCCGCAGAAGAGAGCCTCTGAAGACCCGCACGGGGAGCGTCAGGGCCCGAGAAGTGCACCTTCCTCCCCACCCCCCGCACACGTTTTCGAAAAGTGCACCTTCCCCCCCCCCCCATTGATCGCCCCTCCCCTTGATCGGGGGAACGCAAGACCCGAATAAGCCGGAACTCGGGTTTGCCGACGTTTTTTTGACGAGCGCGTCCTGGATTTTGACGGTCCAGTTTTCGTGGGATGTCTGCAGCGGGAGCTCGCGTCAAATTTCAGATTGGGCCTCGTCATTTTTATGATGGCCCTGTCAGGCCAACCCGAGTCCCCCGTACCCGAGTCTTACGTCTCCCCGAAAGACCCACACGGGGAGCGTCAGGGCCCGAGAAGTACACCTTCCTCCCCTCCCCGCACACATGTTCGAAAAGTGCACCTTCCCCCCCCCCCCCCATGATCTGCACGAACGAGACGGGCACGGAAAGATGGGTACAACGCTCAAAATCAGTTCCTGCTCATTTTGAACAGGACGCGCTGTCCGCGCCGCCACGGCCTGTGCCCGTTCGAGACAGAAGGCCGCCTGCCCAACAGCGGCCGCCGTTGGTGTGGGGCAGCATTTGGTGTTGGGCATTGTGCCCATTCTTTCCGTACCCATTTCGGGCGTCCAAACATGAATGGCCCCCCACCTCCTTTGATCAGAGCGCGAATTACCTACCCCGCTTTCGCTTCCAGGCAAAACCAAGCCATACCACGCGCCTCCTCGTCAAGCGGCGAGAGCAGTACAGGCTGCAATTTGGCATCGTTTGGTATCTCTCGGAAGCGAGGGTGGTCAAAAGCGAGGTAGGTTTGTTTTCCCCCCATTTGAGCAGCGCCCAGGAGTCCGGGAGGGCTCGGGCTTCGCATCCCCGGGATCGAGGCGCCATATGGCCCCTCTTTAGTCCTCGGCGGCAGGCCGGCGCGTAATTATATGCAGAGCAGGGGCGGCCCTCCGCCATGGCAACAAGAAGCCAGCTGGGACGGCGGGCGGCGGCGCCTCCTCCTCCTCCTCCTCCTCCTCCTCCTCCTCCTCTCTCCTCCTCTCCTCCTCCTCCCTCCTCCTCCTCCTCTCCTCCTCCTCCTCCTCCTCCTCCTCCTCCTCCTCCTCCTCCTCCTCCTCCTCCTCCCCTCCTTCCTCCTCCTCTTCCTCCTCTTCTCCTCCTCATCCTCCTCCTCCTCCTCTTTCTCCTCTCCTCCTCCTCCTCCTCCACCACCTCCTCCTCCTCCTCCTCCTCCTCCTCCTCCTCCTCCTCCTCCTCCTCCTCCTCCAGCGGAGGCAGGGGGGGCTCTCCAGAAATCGGCGGCGAGCCAGGGGGGAAGCGTGCAGGAGAAGGCCTTTCTCAGAAGGCTCGGAAGTCCCGCCCGGCCTTCGGAGAGGTGTCCTGAGCCTTCCCCGGGGACACGGAGGACTGCTCAGAGGGCGCGAGGGTGTCTGAGCAGTCCCACCGCCTTCGGAGAAGGCCTTCTCCTTGTCGTTTCCCCCCCTCGCTCGCCGCCAGAGAAAGGGGCTCGCCTTCGAGAAATCGATGTGGGGAGGCATCTCTTCCCAGGAGCAACGCACGGGGGGCGCATAGCCTCGGCCTCTCCGATGACGTCCAGGCAGATACGGTCGAAGGATCGCACCGCATCGCTGATGCATCGGCGATGCGGCTCTATGCGGAGCCCATTCTTCTCCAAGCCGACGTCGCCGATGCGTCGACGATGCGGCGCGATGCTCCGCCATCTGCTCCGACCCAATTTGGGAGGCCTCTAGATAGGCTCAGGGGTGCTGGGGCTCCCCCGAGCCAGTCCCCGGTCCGACTTTGCCCCTCTTATTCCTCGGCGCAAGAGGCACTTCTCTGAAACGACGGCGCAGAGTACGCCGGCGGGCTCCCACGGCGGCTCCGCGCGGAGCAGCGAGCGGAGCAGAAGGCAGAAGCGGAAGGCCAGCGGAAGAGCTTGTGGAGGTAAAAGATGTCCCCCAAGAGTCGACACAAGCAGCGGGTGTCTTGGCAAGGACCCCAGGTAAGGAAACTCGGTTAGTGCGGCGGTCCGCGTGGCTTGTTCGGATCGGCGCTGGACCCCCTCCCTGGCCTGCGGAGCGTGCCAGGGGCGGCGCCGGAGGCGCCGCCAGGGGGGCCAAGCTCGGGCGTTGGCAGAACTGGGTTTGGTGGAACCTGGTTTAATGATCTGTACTGGGGGCGCCCCCCCCCCGTCCCATTTCCACTAACTGGAACTGCCGTCACCCGAAAAAACACAAGCTATGGCAAACCTGGTCTAGTGATTCGGGCCAATTCACAAGCTCCGATTGAAACAAAACAACAATAAAAAAGCAGGCCTCAGGGTTTCCAGAGCGGACCAGATGGTGGCTGCAGTTGGTTCTCTCTCGCTCGCTCTCGGTGGGCTCGTGCGACTGGCCCCGTCCCGGAGGCAGGCGCTGAGGGAGTGGCGCAGCGGGTAAGTACGGGGGGAGGGGCGAGGTCAAGAGCACCGCGACGTTCTTGCAGAGGCCCTCGGCTTCAGGTTCCCCTCGGCCAGCGCCACCCCTCAGAGTCTGAAGCTGCCCGGCTCGGACCCGTGCACCCGTGCGAAGCCGTCTCCTGCGTATGACTCGGCGGTCCATGGGGTCCCTTCTCTTCTGAGCTTCAAGTACGCGTTCTGCTGCAGATGACACTGCCGCCAGCGAGCACCATGTGAATATTGACGAGCAGACATGTTAAGAGTGACCATCTTTGCGTGATAAGACATACAAACACCAAGTTATTTCTCTATATCTCTCTCGCTCTCTCTCTTCCGCTTTCTCTGCATGGCAAGAAGTATTCAGTGTTTTGTTGATTGCTCGCGTTGGCCCTCGAGTTCTCAGGTGACGATATCCTACTTGGCCACAATTCTCAGCAAGCTCATGGCTTCCCGCCCTGTGGACAAAGGGATCAGTCGACACAATGTTCGAGAGCCGGCTGCCCGCACACTCCCCATGGTCTTTTCTCTGCACCCGAGGAGCTTGTTGCAGGTAGTTTCCTATGCGAGACCCCTGGTGAAGACGCATCGTCCATCATCTGCCTGAAGCCCACCCGCCCAACGCGCACCCAGCGTACGGGGCCTCATGTTGCGAGTTGCCAATCCGGGGTGTGGCCTAGCAGGTTGGCGGAAGTTGTGGTGACGGTTGAATGGTCAAGATGCCACTCGTCGGAGCCGAAGCGGCAACAAGAGCTACAGGTTCATATGAATAGTAAGTATTCGTTGGCCTGGCTCGTGTCTCGCTGAGTAGTCCTATTCACAGGCAGGCAGCTGCGTTGTGTTTACGAATTGCAAGCTCAGAGAGTGCAAACTTCAGACGAGACTTGCTCATATGCGGGAGTGTTGCTCACAAAGGTGGCGACGTGTACGACGTCGTTCTGGTAGTTGCATTTGCCCTCCAGTAGTTGTGATTGTGCATGGCAGGAGTAAGTTGACATTGGTGTTGGATACATGAAAATAGTTCCAAGGCGCGTCGTAGAACGGGAAACATACGACGGGGAGAAAGATGCAGCCAGGTTCCCCGGAAACTTCACAGACTTCTATCCCATGCACACGTGGGATGAGATCAAGACGCACGGCTACGTGTTGGAGAAATTTGGTTGCCGTGCGGCTTTCGTATTTTTGTTGCGCCATGGGTAGTACGGCTATCTTCTCTTATCCTCTCCATGCTCTTCCGCGCCATGGCTCCATCGTGGTTCTAGTTTTCGCCCCTGCTCCGAACGGTCCACGTTCCGCGTAGATTCCGGACCGATGACCCATGCTTTCTAATTCAGTCGTCTCCCGCGCCGATGGCACTTCTCGTTGGCGGATCGTGGCTTGAGCTCCGCCGCCAGACATGGAACAGGACACGTATCTGTCCAGACATGGCGTCAACAAGTCCGAGGAGGAGATGGAAAGACAGGGATGCGGAAGAGGACGAGGTTGAGGCCGAGGTTCAGGCGAGGAGAGAGGTGAGGAGGGGGCCAGAGTCGAGCTAGGATACCTGCATAGCTTTCTTCCGGAAACCAAGGGTGGTCGGAGGTTGATAGACCTCCTACCCTGACACGTCGATTAGCGAATTGGCCGTTTTCGGTTCGCAAGAGGGAGTCGCGGCCGTCATTTTTTCGGGTCCAGGTCCGTCGGTTTCGGTCTTGGGCCGTTTTCACTAAAGGGTGGTTTACTAAAGGGAGGTTTGTTCACCGCCGAGGTGTAAGCTTTACCGAGAGTGCCCTAACGTGCACAAGTGGGGCCAACGCGTAATGTGGAGGATTGCGGGGTGCCTGCCGCAACCTAATGATGGCGCAATCCACTGCACACCCACTAGGCAACTGACGATTTGGTGGATTTGCGCGGCACTTGCCGCAAGACATGGCACATCCAATAGGCAACCCACGATTTGGTGCATTGTGGGGTGCTTGCCGGAGCCTACGGCACAACCTATGGCGCAATGGTACACCCGATGGGCAACCGACGATTTGGTGGATTGCAGGATGTTTTCCACAACCTATGATGGCGCAGGGATATACCCAACAGACAGCCGACAGCTGGAATGCCGAAACCAATTAACAAACCCATGTCAGACTTGGGCACACAACTGGCAGTTTACGGTTTGGTGGAGCGTGGGGTCCTCGCCGCAATTTGCGGCGCAACCCATAGCGCAAGGATCTTCTTTTGACGCAACCGGCACCCCAAGCAAGCAATAATTCATTGTTTGGGGTCCACGCTGGTGAACTTAGTCATGTGTTGGCCAGCGTGGACCCCAAACAGTGAGGTATTTCAGTGTGGATGTGTAAGTGGTGTGGCTGCCAGAGTGTACAAGCTATGTGGTGCAATGTGCGAGTTGAAAGTTGTGTGGTGCAAATCGTGTGCAAGCAACATCATGTGGGTGCAAGCTGTGCGGCACAAGCCGCGTGTTGCAAGCTGTGTGATGTGAGCTGTGCGGTGCAGTGCATGTGCTGGAAGCTGTGTGGTGGGCTACGTGTGGTGCATGCTATGTGGTGCAAGATCTGTGGCTGGGCATCGCTCGGACGTGTGCATTTTTCTTTCGGCGAGGACCATCGAGGAGCATCCTTGATAATTTGGCGAAAAAACCACGCACGAAACCGAAAAAAACAAAGGGACTGGACGTACGAACGATGGCGAGGTGGCGTAAACTATGTGGTGCAGGCTACGCGGCCGCCCAGCGCTCGAGGCGCCTGCGGGCGCACACCGGGCCCAACTCCGGCAGCGCCGCCCCGCGCACGAGGCGCCCACGGGCGGGCAGCGGAGCCTCGGCTGGCCCACCCCAGCGCACTGGGCGCCCACGGGCGGGCACCCGGCGAAGTCTCCTCCGGGCCCACCCAGGCGCACGAGGCGCCCACGGGCGGGGCGCCGTGCGAAGCCTCGGACGACCCACTCAGCGCAAGAGGCGGTCGTGAGGCCCCCACTGACGAACGGACAACACGCACCCATACCCATAGGGGGGTCGCTGGGAGGAGGACTGGCTATGGGTATGGGTGCGGGCTGTCGGACCCTGGGGAACGCTCCCGTTCGAGCGGGGACCCCCATCCGACAACACGCACCAATAGCCCTCTCCGATCCACCTATGGGTATGGGTGTGTGTTGTTGGTTCGTCACCCACGGGCTGGCACCATGCGAAACTTCGGCTGACCCGTTCAGTTTCGTAAGGGACAGAGTTCAGAACCCCTGAGTGCAAGCGCTGCACTGGGAATACTGACACTGCGCAAAGTTGCAAGCGAGAGCTCCATGCTGACCAGGAGCCGCCCGCCATTCGCGTGAGTGTTGCGCATCTTGTATGCGCGAGCTGAACAGATTTTCGCTCTGTTGCGAACAGGGGGCCGTAGTGCGCCCCCAAGGACCGCCTCTGCTCGTTATCCGCATCCCCGTGCCTCCCTCCTCGTCCCTCCCTCCCCCTCCTCCTTCTCCTCCTCCTCCTCCTCCTCCTCCTACCCCCCCCCCTCCTCTTCCTCCTCCTCCTCCTTCACCTCCTCTTCCTCCTCCACCTCCTCCTCCTCTTCCTCTTCCTCCTCCTCCTCGCCCGATGTTGCCCTCTGCGTGCTTGCAGCCTGCTGCGATGGCGGCGGCGGCCGCCGCGGTGGCTTGCCCCGCGGGAGGCTGCGCCGTGGCCTTCGGCGTGTCGGCCGGGGAGCACAAGGCAGCGGGCCGTGCCCCGCGCCGCCTGCGAAGAGTCGACGACGACGACGACGACGACGACGACGACGACGACGACGACGACGACGACGACGACGACCAGGGGGAGGAGGACGACGACGACGACCAGGGGGAGGAGGAGGAGGACGAGGAGGACGAGAAAGAGAAAGAAGAAGAGGAGGAGGACGAGGCGGGGGAGGAGGAGGAAGGAGGGACGGAGGGAGGGTGAGAACAACACCCCTCGCGCGGTGAAAACGAGTCACGAGGGGAGGTCTTTGGTCGCTCTCTTTTCGGCCGCCGGGGGCCCCTCCCAGGCCCCCGGACCGTCAAAAAACAGTTCGGGAGGAATAGCCAGTCCCTGGGAAGGGGTCCAGACTTCTGAGGGGCACGTCCTTTTATATTATAGTACTAAGAATAATAATAATAATACTGATAATAATAATGATAATGATAACGATGATAGTAATACAAATAAGCATGCGGATACTAATAATGATAGTAATAATGGTAAGAGTTGTATATATAAAACTCATAAAAATGATAAAGCACATTATTGATACAAATAACAAAAGTAGTAGTAGTAGTAGTAGTAGTAGTAGTAGTAGTAGTAGTAGTAGTAGTAGTAGTAGTAGTAGTAGTAGTAGTAGTCGTAGTAATGGTACTACTACTACTACTAATAATAATAATAATAATGATAATAATAATCATCATCATCATCAAAATAAAATTATTCGTAAAAAAATACTACTACTACTACTACTACTACTACTACTACTACTACTACTACTACGACTACTACTACTACTACTACTACTACTACTACTACTACTACTACTACTACTACTACAACTACTACTACTACTACTACTACTACTACTACTACTACTACTACTACTACTACTACTACTACTACTACTACTACTACTACTACTACTACTACTACTACTACTACTACTACTACTACTACTACTACTACTACTACTACTACTACTACTACTACTACTACTACTACTACTACTACTACTACTACTACTACTACTACTACTACTACTACTACTACTACTACTACTACTACTACTACTACTACTACTACTACTACTACTACTACGAGCACTACTACTACTACTACTACTACTACTACTACTACTACTACTACTTCAAGATAATAATAGTCGTAGTCGTAATAATACGAATGCATCTATATATATATATATATATATACATATATACATATATATATACACACAACACTATATGGATATGTATATATATATGTATATATATATGTAAAAACTCTGAGGTTTGGGCACCAAGAGGCCTCGAGATCTGGGCGCTGCAATTTGTCCACACCGGGCGTTTTCGCCTGGTGTCGGGCCCCATGACCATCACAGATCCATCCGGCTCGAGACAGATTGCAGGAAGGTGGGGGTTTGGGGGCCCTAGTCGTGGTGTTGTTCACGATGTTGTTGCCCCTTTCCTCCTCCCTCCTCCATCCTCCCTCCTCCTTCTTCCCCGTTATCCCTCCTTCCACTCCCCTCCTCCCCCCTCCCCCTTCCTCCCTGCTCACTCCTCCTCCTTCCTCCTATCCTCCCTACCTTCATCCCTCCTGTCCTCCCCATCGCCCGCAATGCATTGCAATGCAAAGTATTGCAAATACAATGCACATGCAGCGCAGCGCAGTGCAATGCAACGCAGCAGGATCGTTGGTTGGCCGGCAGGTTGCCTGGTGGTTGGTCGGTCGGCAGGTTCTTTCGGTGGTTGGTTGGTTGGTTGGTTGGGCGGCCGCCGCGTGGCAACGCTTGGGCGGCCAGCCAAATACCATTCCACCCTACTCGTCACGTCGCAGCGCCGCGGGGGCCGGAACAAAAATACCATGCCACCGCGTTCGCCACGTGGCAACGCCCGGCCGGGACCGAGCAAAAGTACGATTCCACAACTCGCGCGGCAGCCCCGCGGGGGCCGGCAAAGATGCGGAGCCGCTCCGCGCGCAGCATGCCAAGGCCTGGGGGCGCGAAGAAAGTGTCACTCAGGAGGGAAAAAACACACAGACACAATTAATCGTCGACCCCCAGGAAAAGATGGGAAACTATGGGAAGTGGGGGGGAGACAAAAACCCTGAAAATATGGGACAATATGGGGAATCCTTCTGTTTGTATGTATTTATGTGTGTGTCCCAGGGCCCCTTCAGTCACGTGGCAACGCCGCGGGGGGCGGGCAAAAAACTGTTCCACTCGATTCGTCACGTGACAGCGTTTGCAGGGGCCGACAGACAAGACTATGCCACTCCACTCGCCACGCGGCAACGCCTGGAGGCGCGCAGAGACAGTCTTCCGTGCCAGCCGTCACGTGGCAGCGCCGCGGGACCGAAAGGAGAATTATGCCGCGACGACGGCGAGAACGACGTTGAGAACGACGACGATGACGATGACGAGGGCCAGGGAGGCGAACAAATTGTATCCTATCCTTCTCGTCCTTGATTTTTGTCTGTCGCGCTCTGAGAAGCAGAAAGA